TAGTGTGGGCCTGGGAGGGGAGCAGCCCACCCGCCCCCACTCTTCTACCCCCTTCTTTAGATAGAGGCCTTACACCCTGTTCTTCATGTTCATATCTAGCAGTTTAGGTGCTAGAGGCGTGAACACACTCCTAGGGAATTTACAGCAGACTCATGCCGCGGGGCCTTTTACAGCTCCACTTCCAACACGATTCCTTTCTGGAAAGTTTGGTCATACCTTGCGTTCTTGCTACTTCTAGAAAGTCGCAAAGCTGGGCAGCACACCCTGTAGGTAGCTTCACAGAGATGGCTCTGGGACAGGACTCCAGAATAGCGTGCTGACAGGGGTCGTTCTCGGCCCTGGAAACGTCTGCACACATGATAAGGCACCTGGGCTGCTCTCTCCCGGGGAGTTAAGTTCCTCTGTCCTAAGAGACCAGGTTTGCGCTGCATGGCTCAGCTGCAGAGCCGGCCTCCGCTCGTCCGTCCCGCCCGCGCCTCAAATGGGCCAGGTTTTCAGTTGTCTGTTGACTTGGAGGCTTGGAGGCCCCAACTCGAAGCAAGCTTCTCCAGATGAAAAAACCTGCTTTAAAGGAGGGTGTGACAATATACTTACTCCAGATGTTTGACTGTTCCACGTATCCGAAAGTCTCCATAAGTGTATAAAATGGTGCGTGTGTGATTTTAATTTCCCTGTGATTTTTATTTCCTTGGGAAAGAGCTGTCCATCAGTAGAACACTTTTTGTCTTTTCTTAGATATTTGACCACTGGCTTTGTGTGTGGAGAGGGTATGTAAGCTTTTAATGAGTGGTTTCTTGGTTGGGTTTTTTTTTTTTTTTTCTTTTTTAAGATTTTATTTGATAGAGACACAGTGAGAGAGGGAACACAAGCAGGGAGAATGGCAGAGGGAGAAGCAGGCTTCCTGCTGAGCAGGGAGCCCGATGTGGGGCTCGATCCCAGGACCCTGGGATCATGACCTGTGCTGAAGTTAGATGCTTAACAACTGAGCCACCCAGGCGCTCCTCTTGGTTGGTTTTTTAAGGCATCAGATGATTGTTTTTTGGCTAACACTCAGCGTTCAGATTAATTGGTGTCATCCATACAGCAGTCCCGTGAGAGCGACAGTGCTCTTACCACCCCTTTTACAGACGAGGCAGTGCAAGGGCACACAGGGGCCACCTGTGTGGACGCTCAGAACCGTGAACAGCAGCCTCGTGAGTCTGCCCAACAGGTGGTTCTGGGGCCTGTATGTGGTAGAAATGTTGGTCATCAGACAGTTAAATGACAACTTCTAGAAAGGAATTTTCTACATCAGGACTTGTGACAGAGCTTTGGGGGAGCCCCATTCATACGTCACTTTCCTTCCTTATTCTGTGTTCTCAGGGTGGGGCAACCTTAATTTCTCAGCTTCCATTGGTTGGTCTTTTTGTCAGGGGTCAGGCTTTAGTGATACCTCCTCCACTGTGGTAATAAAAATGACTCCAGATGTTGCCAGATGCCCCTAGGGGCTTATAGTTACCCCAGTTAAGAACTCCTGCCTTGGATTATGTGTGATAAATGTTGGCTGAAGAAATCTGGCTGAGTGTGCAGTCTTTCCGATTGCATCACGTGCTGTTGACAGCCACAGAGTGACGCAGGTGATGTCCTGCCCCAGGACATCCTTCCTTACACGCCACTGGGCCTCTGAGAGCTTGCGAAGGCCACTTTGCCCACATGTTGTAGGTGCCCTCCATCCCTGGCTCAAGGCTTGGGCCTGGGAGCTTCTAGTCTTTCTCCCAAGGTGGTTATCAGAAACTGGGCTCTTTGTCCTTAGGAAGACACATACTTGAGATAAGCCACCTTAATTACAAAACGAGCATGTGCGACATCCTCAGCTTTGTAGAGAAATTTTTGCCCAGAGAACATTTTCCGTGCTGACTTTAAGTAAAATCCTCGGCATGTCTCTTGGTGGGAAGCCCGGCCTTCGGTAGCAGTGTGCTTTGGACTAAGAATGTTGATGGGACTCTCACCTTTGACCCCTTTCCCTTTGTCTCCAGAAAGGACCGCAGTGTGAAATACCCCGAAGACCTTCCCATCACCCTTCCTAATCTGCTGAGGTTCATTCTGCATCACTCAGACCCCGCTTCCGCCCCCCAGAATTTAGCTAACCCTCCTACCAAAGAGTGTCTTCAGAGCGAGGCAGTCTTCCAGCAGGGGCACATCTCCCACTTGGAGAGAGAGATCCAGAAGCTGAGGGCGGAAATCAGCACCCTCCAGCGGGCGCAGGTGCAGGTGGAGGCCCAGCTGTCCAGCGCTCGCAGGGACGAGCACCGGCTGCTTCGGCAGAAGCAGACCCTGGAGAAGCAGCACAGCCTGCTCCAGCGGCACAGCGAGCAGCTGCAGGCCCTGTACGAGCAGAAAACCCACGAGCTCCAGGAGGTGGCCCGGAAGCTCCAGGAGCTGGCCGACGCCTCGGAGAACCTCCTCACCGAGAACACGTGGCTCAAGATCCTGGTGGCAACCATGGAGCGGAAGCTGGAGGGCAAGGACGGAACCGCAGCCCCCCCCCCCCCCCGAGAGGCCGCCTCTGACCACCCTGAGCCTCCGGGTCCCCCTCGGCTACCAGGCAGCAGCCTCCCGCCTTCCAACAGCAGCTCCACGCTGGCGTCCGAAAGGAGCAATGAGAACAGGACAGACTAACTTTTAAAATGACATGAAGAAATCAGAGGTGAAAACTGTACATTGGGAATATATTTATGCAAATTTTATTGAAATTTATTGTAAATAAAGATTTTCTCAGTGGTCTAGAAAATCAGCTTGAATGTCATTCAGCGTTTATTGAACAGGGATGACATCCCTTCCACTTATTGCACAAACTTGGTAGCTTTGAGACCGAAACAGTAGCACAGCCCATTTGAACATCTGTCTGAAAAGTTAGCCCGGATTTTCGTGGCTCAGTGTCAAAGAGTTCCCTCCCCATTCCCCGACTGTTGCTTCTGTGATGACATGCGCGATGAAAGGCTGATTTCCTGACTGACCCGTCAGAAGACCAGAACACAACAGCTGGGCCATTCAGAAAGAATTCAGTGAGAGGTCATAACTTCACTAAGCCATGTGAGCGTGTGGCCCTGGCGTCAGCGCTAAAAAAAGCAGCCGTCGATCAACAGGAACAGTGAACGCTCTTGTGTGGCTGTTCACTGCCTCCCCAGGCACTCGCACTTGCCTCCCAGAGACCCCCACTGGTGGGTCCCCCCCGGCCCCCCACGGGCGCTGTGCGCTGGGACCCTGACCTGGCGAAGACATTGCCCCTGGCAACCAGGGTGTAGGCGGGATGAGGGAGCCTCCAGGAGCAAGACCTGGGAGAAAGTGAAGGTTCGTCATGTCAAACACAGAACTTCACCGGCGCCGGTTAAAACCTCAGGGCAAGTCTGAGAGTTAAGCGATCACGTTCGGGGTCAGCCGGGGGCAGGGGCTGGGGCGGGGCGGTCCTGGGTTTCCCAGGTGAAGGCAGCCTGGGTGCGTGCTGCTGGCTGCGGAAAGTCGAGGTAGAAAGCCTGGAAGTTCTGAGATGCGAGTGGAATGGATCAGACATCCGTGCTCCTTCCATGTTGGTCTCAAGGGTCCTTTATCAGAAAACCAGCCTTCTCCCTGATCATCCCTGGGGCACCTTTGAAGGTGCTGGCCCCCTCTGGCCCACATGCCCTCTCAGGGTCTCTGGCCTGATTCTTAAGTTTAGCCACCCCCGTTTTAGGGGCCAGGGACATCTCTCTTGTGCCAAAGCCCAGCTGCCTTACCGGGGCTCCTCAGTAGCCCCCTGGGGCAGCTCAGACTGCTACCAGCTACCCTAATCCTAACTCCCAAGCTAATTCTTCATGTTTGACCCCCAATTTAAGGGTATGCCACTAAGATGAAGTGTTCCCTCAGCTCCCTCCTTGGGGTTCCAGGAAGAAGATGATTAGTTCAACATGCTCGTTAGAGACTTGGGTGAGCCCAGAGGAGCTGCCGTCAGCCTGACCGGTGCTCCGTGATAAGCCCACGCTGGCCACTGGTTTATGACCTAGGGTGCCGACACAGGCCACGTTTTCATCACAATAGTGGAGAGTGTGCTTATGGTGGTGGGATTAACGAACTCTGTGAGTTCACTGACATGTACACAAGAGACGCCTTGAAGATGCAGGCCGTGGGGGTGCTGGCCTGACTGAGAGCCACCATGAAGACCCTGTCCTTAACCTGAAACTCACTGCCCCTGCCATAAGCCCTCCCGGGGATCCACTAAGGGTGGGCTGTCAGGCCACCGTCCGGGGGCCTCTCCTGGGTGTTCATTCCCTCGGAGCTCTTTGAGCGGGGTCAGGAGACTCTCCTAGGTGACCCGCGGGGGAAAAGTGAAGTCCAATACCCAGCAGGTGGGTGCTGCTCAGAGAAAAAGGAAACTAATGTGTGAAAAGGAGGTGGGGGGACCCTCAAAGCCCCCTCCCCTGCCCCTCCAGTGCAGAACGTATTAAATACAACAACAAACAAAAAGCACGATTTCCTCTTTCCTGGGCCAGGTGGGTTTCCGATAAAGGTAGCAGCCACAGGCGCTGGTGTTTCTAGCAAAGCCTATGCCAAGTGATGCTGGCTGGGGGTGGAGGGTGGACAGCAGTGGGGGAGTGCTCAGCGTGCTCTAGAAACTGCTCTGCTACCAGGCCACCTGGCAGCCCTCGGGACGTGGGCCCTGGCCCGTCCTTCACCGGCTTTCAAGCAGTGGCGGTGGCTTCCTTGCAATAACTCCACTCTCAACAGGAACTGGTTATTTAGGACCAAAAGAGAGGGGGGCGTGGTTCTTGCATCCATTGCTAACCAAGCAGAAATCATCCAAGCACCCCAGCTGGTCAGCCACGAGACTTAACACGGACATGTCACGTCCTCTGCCCCCCCCCGCCCCCCACACGTATATATTAGAGGCCCCTGCCAAGTGCAGTGTGGGCCTTCCATGTCTAAGACCCCCCACCCCCGACCCCACAGCCTTGAGTCAGCTTATCATAACTACAGTCAGTCCCATGTGCTCTACACGGTCTTTTTAAAAATCAGCGAAAAAGGCTTAAGCACATGCTTCCAGGGCCTATTTACAGCTCTGTTTGTGAGTTCGGCGTTACAGTAGTAGCTCCATCAAGAACAGGCTCAGCTAAACATTCAAGTAACAAAAGCGCTACGGGGTCACGAGCCCCAGCAAGGTCAGGCCTGCCCACTGCCTGCAATGGGCAGTCCCACCGGGAGGCCAGAGGGGCACCCAGGGCCGCCGCCTCCTGGCTACTGACGACAGCCAAGACCTCGGGAGTCAGTGCATGCGGTGATGAAGCCCAGCGAGGCCATGCCAGCAGGTGTCACGCCGTCCTCAGCAGCTCATCTGTGGTGTCGCCCCTCCCACGCCTCTCCGCTGGAGGCAGACTGGCCTCAGGGCCTCCGCATCCCGGCTCAGCCATGGACTTCTGGGCCGCTCGGGGTCAGCTTGGCCTTTCTCTCCACGCACGGTCCCTTGGCGGAGTACTGCACCAGCAGGAAGGGCTCCTTGGTCTCGCCATCGCCCACGATGCTCTCCTCGTCCTCTGACTGGCTGATGCGCTGCAGCCGCAGGTAGCACCAGCAGCCCAGGATCAAGGCCCCCAGGGCAGCGATGGCAATGAGGATGACGATGACCGTGACCACGCCCGTGGTGGGGCTGTGGTCCATAATAGACATGGTCAGCGCCCGGGGAGGCTGCCGCAGGAGGACGCACGTGCGGCTGTCTGCTCAGCGAGGCTGGAACCCAGGCTGGACACGAGAGCCCTGAAAGACAAAGCAGGGTGAGGTTCCACTGGGGGTTCCACGGGGCCCTGACAGCGCCCAAGCTCGGGGGTCCGGGACTGGGGGACCTTTTTAATCAGGTCTTAATTAAGTCTGACCATCCTGCCCTCATCCTAGCGAAAAACATGCTGGTCGGCTTTCACCATTCCTAGCTCAGGACATCACCAGCGTTCTCTTGGCTCCCAACAGCCCACTTCCACCCCTACCCCTGACACCGTCGGTGCTCCTGCCACCAAAAAGGAGTCACCCTCGCCCAGCCAGGGAGCCAGAGATGCAGGAAAGGGGGCCCATGGCCCCCAAGCCCACCGCAGCCCCGCTGGAAGCTGGAAGAGGGTCTGTTCGAGGAGATTGTCCTGAAAGCCCAGCCCGCCGAGGTGTTCGGAAGCCCAGGGACCAAGAGGAGCCAGTGCTCCGTGATGGCCAGACACGCGAGACTCGAAAGCAGGGACATGACCTCAGTCCCTCACTTCGACAGGCGACACAGATAACTCAGCTAAGTCTTCTGGAACACCTGGGAGAGGGTGCAGCCGATGACAGCCTTTGTCCACAAGGGAACTGTGACCAGCCAGGGAAGAGCCCTCAGCAGCCCAGTCCTGGAACGAGGATGCACTCGGGACAGCGTGGGGGAGGGCAGGCGAGAGTGGGGCAGACCGACCCCTTCCCGCACCGAGCTCAGCGTCAGGGGCAGGACCCAGACTGCAAACAGATCGATACACCAACGCCTGTCACTACAAATGCATCCGCGCCGTGTCAGGAACACAGGGGACTGGGTGCCAAGACGCTACATTGGGCGGGGCAGGCGATACCTGGGGAGGTAAGGCCGAGGTTGAGCCAGGAGGAAGAACCAGCAGGAAGAGCCAAGCCCCTGGGGAGGTGCGTTCCTGGCAGGGGAATGGCATCTGCGAAGGCTCAGAGGCAGGAAAGGGCCTGCTGGCCAATACAGGAGCTGGAGCACCAGAAGCGTGCGCTGGACCACCACCTTCTCACGACCGCCCATCTTAGACAAGCCTCTGCACCTCACTGGGTCTCAGATTCCTCCTCTGTGGATGGGGCTGGTGAGCAGCTATGGAGAGCCAGCAGTGGGCAGCACGGCAGACTGAAAAAACCCAGACTCTCGAGGTGACTGAGGCAACCAGGCTCCCAAGACCCTGCACTTTCTAACTTGTCCTCCTCACCACCCAGGTAGCAGATGACAGTAATGAGCACCCAAGTGTTCGAGGGTGGGGAAAACCCTGTGCCACCCTCAGCACAACGTAAGAGCTGGCTGTTGAATTCATTTCTCTGGAAAGACGGACATCAACACAGGGAGAGAGCGGTGGAAGGGAAGGCTTTCCGCCCATACAGGAAGGAACCTGGCGTCCTTGAGCAATAACCATCTTAATTAGAAGTGATTCTTAACCCAAACCAAGGAGACTCCCCGCCCACCCAAGGCCAGGCTTGCCTGAAGGTCAAAGAGCTAAGTCGACGTCCCTGGACTCTGTCCAGGGACTAGCCACCACCGCCCCCAGCCCTGAGTACAGCCCCCCGGGCCCACATCTACAGAGACGTCCTGGGCAGGAGGGGGCATGATATCCCTGAAATCTACCCCTTTCTTACCACCTGCAGGGTCAGGCTGCTGTTGTCCCTCTCCAGAGGCTCTCTGGTCCACCCATGTGGGTCCACTGGAGCCAGTGCTCCTGTAGCCCAGAGGAAAAGCCTCAAGTCCTACAGGGCCCAAGAGGCCGCATCCCCATCCCCTGCTTCTCCCCGGCCACAATGACCTCCAGGCCTTTAGCCGGACAGGTCTGTCACAGCTGGCAGTTGGGGGAGGGGGGTTCTACTGGCATGGAGTGGACAGAGATCAAGGGTGTACTAAACACCCTGTAGCGCAGGGGACAGCCCCCACTAACAGGAATCCAGCCCCAAGTACCAACAGTGCGGAGGGCGACAAACCTGGGCCCAGGAGGGGGTCCTTGTCCTGTGCCTACACCTGCTCCCCACCACTGACCAAGAAACTTGCTTCAGTGTGTAACCCTGGCTTCCCTGGCAGCCATCTGGTTGGCCCCCGCCTCCCCCATCGGGCTGTGCACTCCTGGAGGGGCCCTGCACTCTGCTAGGCTGCCAAGTGCACAGGCTATCCTGGCCTCTTCTGTCCCACCACCCCTCTCTGCCTGTCCCCTCAGGCCTCCAGAAAGGACAGGTATGCCCCCACACCCCCGACAACCTGCCAGTTGTGCCCAGTGAACCTCTCTTCCTGCTATGGAGGACACCTGCCTTGTCCTTCCCCTTGGCCCTCTTGTGTCCAGTGCCTGCTAGGGTGCTTACCCGTCTACCAGGCCCCCAGACAGGAAGGCAACGCAGTATCAATTCAGAAGGGGAAGTATGTGTGTGTTTGGGGGCAGGAAGTAGGAAATCAAACAACAGCGGCAAGACCTGAGGTGGGGGGGGAACCCTAGGGGCCAAACCTGCCACAGAACCTAGGAGGCACCTACCAGTCCAGGGGGAAGCCACATGGTCCTAGGACTGATGGGGAAACTGAGGCAGAGGCTGCCCCAGCTCAAAGGGACACTTTGAGGGGACTGGTGACCTCAAAACCCTGTCTGCTGCCCTCCCCCTAGGCCAGAAGGACACTCATCCCCAAGTGCACGGAGCCATGGGCACGCCTGGCCTGTGCTCGTTGGCGCCACCCTCCCCTGCCCCCAAGTGCGCTGTTTGTCCCCGAATTTGCTCAGCAAGTATTTCCCAAGATGATGGTTTAAAAAAATCAGCTCACATCATCCACTGCTCAGAACCCGCCCTGGCCTCAGCAGAGGAGCAGACCTCCCTGCCTCTCCGGGCTTCTTCACACCCTTCCTGCCCTCCCACCTCAAACCGTCTGAATTTTCTGTTCCTTCTGCCTGGAATGTTATCCCCTGACTGTCCCATGACTGGCTCCTTCCTATCATTCGGGACTTTCTCCATGGGTGCCTCTGGGGGGTGGGGGTTCCTTCCCAGACCACCCTGGCTCCAGACACCCCACCACCCCACACCTGCCATCGCCTTGCAGCACACCACTGTGACCACGGTGATCCCCAACCCTGTGATCATGCTCGATAAATGACAGCTGAGTGTTTCAAGCCCAGAGACCTAGTGATGAGTTAGAGGAGCCCCAGCCCTCCCCAGCGCTCTCACCCCTGAGCCCGCTCTCCAACCCAAAGCCAGTCCCAGGACCCCTCTGCAAGGGTCCACACACCTGTCCCAAGAGACTCCAGAAAACTGGCAGCCCGAGTGTGAGGGCAGGTGGATTCCCAACAGGCCCGAGCCCATGAAGGGGCAGCTGTCTCCACGTGCTAGGAGGCAGGGAGAGGAGGGCGCCTCTGGGAACCAGACCCCAGGGGATGTCTGAAGTATGAGGGTGGCTGGCTGCTTCCCCCTGACCCCCTGTGGCCCGGGCTGGAACCTACCCACTTGGATTGCCTCTCCTGATGTCCCTCATGCCCTTCCTCATGCCCTTCCGAGCCACGTTTCTCCCGTAAGTCAGCTGACCCCCTCATCCTGATCCAGGCAAGCGCCCAGGGTGGGACAGGGACGGCCACAGCTCCGGGCTGGGTCGAGGCCCAGGATGGCTTGCGAGAAACGAGCCCCCGCTGAGAACAATCATCAAAGTCGCTTAACACGCGTGTCATACACTCGCTTCATCCTCCCAAGAACCCCGCGGCGAACACTGCTCACTGGTGTCCGTCCCACTTTACAGATAAGCAAACTGAGGCACAGAGAGTCTGTGTGCATTGCCCGGGAGTGAAAAGGCAGAATGCAGCATGTGACCCCAGACGTGCAGCCCAGAAGAGCCCGGGCGCTCTGGGGTGGGCAACAAAACGCATGTCCCCACCCCAACCTCTGCAGCAGCTCCGGGCCGGCCCCTCAGTTAGGGTGAAGGCTAGCACTGCAGGCCCGAGGCCATCTGGGTCCCCAAAACATACAGGACCGATCCTCCACCCCCCCATTCTGTGGACCCTCAGTCCTGCCTCCCTGGGCCAAGGGTGGCCTGACCTCGGATCGCACCCGCAGGTCCTGGAGAAGCAAGCTCTATAGCCCAGCCTTGCCAGTCTGCTGAGGCCGCCCCACCGGGCTCCTCACTCCCCGCCCCCTCTGCCCACCAGTGGGTTCAAAAGGACAGTCCCCACCTCAGCCACCAGCCAGCTGAGGGTAGACTGATACCTTCCACTGGCCTGCTGACCCTCAGAGTTCCCAGCTTAGGTCTTCCCCGGTGTAACACTGGGTTCCAGTTACCTCCTCTTTATGAGACCCCGAAACTGAGCCTTAACCCCAGTCCACAGGTGACATTACCCACTCAGGCCCCGTGGGGCCGCAGCTAGCAAGAGAGCAGATTCAAAGCCCCCGACTTCCCCAGCCCACCTCCCGCCCCTACAGTGAACAGTGAGTTGTTCCAGGCTGTCCCGGTAAACTGCTCCTCATGGCCTTGGTGTCTTGGTGTGCAAAATATGTGCTCAGTCCCTCACCTCTCCAGCCAGGCTACGGGGAGGATAAGCAGTGATAAGAAATGGGGAAATGAGGGGCGCCTGGGTGGCTCTGTGGGTTAAGCCTCTGCCTTTGGCCCAGGTCATGATCCCGGGGTCCTGGGATCGAGCCCCGTGTCTGGCTCTCTGTTCAGCGGGGAGCCTGCTTCCCTTCCTCTCTCTCTGCCTGCCTCTCTGCCTACTTGTGATTTCTGTCTGTCAAATAAATGAATAAAATCTTAAAAAAAAAAAAAAAAGAAAAGAAATGTGGAAATGGAATGGGTGGAGGGGGAGGCAATGGGTTTGCATGTCACCAGGCGCCACACCTTCCTGGTGCCACAGGGAGACAGTGAGCCCCTAGCATCACCTCTGCCTCCCACCACCAAGGACCTGCCTCCCAGGAGGGTAGAGAGCCCAGTCCAGGCCCATCACCACAAACAACCTCTTCCTCAAGGCCACCTGCCACCTTCTCGCTTAACTGGGCATATCACTAGTGTCACCGTGCCCAGCAGGACACCAGCTCACCACTCCCACCCTCCACCTGGAACTACCCTATTTACAGGGTAGCCAACCCCTCCCCGGCGATCAGAGGAGCAGGGGTTTGCAGCAGTGCCCCCCAGGGGTTAAGCCATGCCCTTGGGCAACAAAGACATGCGCCAGGTGTGCCAACAAGCCAGGCTCTGCCCCTTCAGGGGACCCCAGTTCACACACCAGAAACATCTCCTGCCTGGTTTCTGATTAGGAACATCGTATGGTAGAGGGTGGACAGGATACTGCTGGGCACAGTCAAGATGCAGATGGGACGTCTTCTCTGTGCCAGGTCCAAGCAGGCGCTGGGACCCAAGGACGCATGGCACAAGGATCCTGCTCTCCAAAAACCAGGACCAAGAACAGCACGGATGCAGATGGGAAAAAGCATCACGGGGCTGAGGCTGTGGACAGCCATATATATATATCCAGGGTCCTCTCCGCCTCCCATCACCCACCCAATCACACCCCGTCCTCCAGAAGAGGAAGCTCGCACCAGAAACCCCCGAGGGTCCCTGAAGGCAGAAGAGGAAGCTGGTGCAGACTGAGCCCAGGGACTGCCCCAAGGTCAGTCTGGGTCTCCTGGGGCCCAGGCCTGCGGCTCATGCCCCCGCCCTGTGAATCAGCCACTCGCCATTCTCACAGGGTCAACCCACTTGGCCAAACAACTTTGGTAATAACAGAAGATGCCCAACGAAAGTTGCCAGTGATATTCTATGTGCCAAACACAGAGAAGATGAGCACTTCACACGGATCCTTTCTCCTTCCACCCTCAAAAAAACGTAGGATTATCATTAAGCCCACTTTGCAGATAAAGAATCTGTGGCTCAGAGAAGTTAAGTCAATTGCCCAAGGTCACACAGCTCAGAAGTAGCAGCCCAGGGAGTCAAACCCAGGCAGCCTGGATTCCAAATGCCAGATTTCAGCCCTGACATAAAAATGCCATATTCTTGATCCCCACCTCCCTACTCCCCTGCCTTCAGGCCCAGGAGCCTGGTAAACCCCGGTGCAGCCCCCGCCGGGGCAGGCTGAGTGACAAGGGTTCGATGCTGGGGACACAGGGATGACAGGCGCCCCGGCAGCTACCGCGTGCTGAGCGCGGGGGACGTGCAGGCGCGGTGCCAGGCGAGCTCCACGCACCCTCTCATTTAACCCTGCCAGGCGACGCCGTCTCCCCCACTCTACCAAGGAGCTGAGCGAGGCTAGAGGGAGGAAGGGGCTCAGCCCCCTAGGCGATGGCTGGAGGGGGAGCGACAGCTGGAGAAGCAACTCCGGCCGTCCCGACTGGGGCGGGGAGGGGGGCGGGAGGACGGGGTACCGCGATACCCAATCATGCCCACGCCGCGCAGTCACCGCCGACGAAACTCGGCACCAAACGTCGCGGCCCGTCCTCAGTTCCCCACCTGCGAAATGGGCTCCAGACGTCGCCACGACCCGCGCTCCTACCCTTGACCCCCGGAGTCCGCCGGACCACCCTGGGGGATGCTAGGACGCCCTCCTCCTCCGTTAATTTTAAATACCCCGAGGCGTCCCGAGGACCCGTTCCAGCGGCCGGCCTGGGGAGCGGAACTGCGGGCCGCGGTGGCGGGCTGGCACGGGGGAGGGGCGGGGAGACACCCGCTCCCCGCAAAGCGGCCGCCGCCCCCCCCCCCCCTTGTCCCCATCTCGCCGCAGCGCAGCGGACAAAGAACCCCCGCCCGCGGGCGCGGCCCCCCCGGACAGGCCCCCCCCCCCAAGCCGCGCCCCCGCCCGGGCTGCCCCTCCCCCGCCGCAAGGACACCCCCCACCCCCCACCACGGCCCACGGGCGAGCCTCCCCGCGCGCGCCCCCCGTCCACCGGGGGCCGCTCTTTCCCCTCCCCTGAGCCCCCGCCCGGCCCGAGCGCCCGGGCCGCCGGGCTCTGCTCACCATTGCGCCGCCCGCAGCCCGGCCCGATCGCCCCGCAGCAGCCCCGCGGGCCCGGCTCCGCCCGCCAGCCCGCCCGGTCCGGCCGCCGTGCACCGTCGGGACGCAGGAGCCCCGCTCTGCGGCGGGCGGGGCATCTCCGGTTCCGCCCCGGCCGGAGGCGTGGCCCGCTCCGAGCGGCCAATGGAAGCCCGCGCTGGGGCGGCGGGGCGGGGCGGGGTCACGTGCGCGCGTGGCCGGGGCGGCCCCGGCGGGGCGGGGGCTGCGTGCAGCTGGCGGCCCTGGGGGCGGGGGGCGGACGCGGCCTGGCAGCGCGCGGATTGGGCGCCGGTGGGTGCGGGGCGCCGGCGGCAGCCCGCCCTCCAACTCCCCGAGGTTGCCGTGATTCCCGCTCACTCATAGAGAGGGAAACTGAGGCGTGCCGCAGGTAGGAGTGTTGTCTGGAAACGGGGAGCTGCGGAACCCTGGGCGGGGGCAGGGAGAGGCGGGACCTTGGAGTTGAACGTCCTAGTTTGGGGACGCTGCAGGTCATTCCTTCGTTCGTTCATGCATTCGTTCCACACTCGTGCGTCAGTTCACTCCACTCTGAGGGACGCCCACCAGGTGCCGGGTTCGCCGGTGGCCGAGGAACAGCTATGAACAGGACCAACAAGGACCCTCCCGGCACCGAGCTCTCCTTCAGGTGCCGGCTGGGTCTGCGGGCAATTTGCAGCCCCTTGGCCGCTTATAATCATGGCTCTTTAACGTAGTAAGTCCGTGATTATGTCCCCCCACCGCCACGCGCTGTACTGTGGCTCAACACATTTTATCCACTCGACCCATTTTACAGATGAGGAACCCGAGGTTCCAGAATGCTGAAGTACCACAGCCTCCTCGTAATGGAGGCAGAATTCCAGGCCAGGCCTTGTAGCCTGG